TATCATATCCCCCCTCAGTCTCCTCTTTTCTAAGCTGAAAAGTCCCAGTCTCTTTAGCCTCTCTTCATATGGGACCTGTTCCAAACCCCTAATCATTATAGTTGCCCTTTTCTGAACCCTTTCCAAGGCCAAAGTATCTTTTTTGAGGTGAGGAGACCACATCTGTACACAGTACTGAAGATACGGCGTATCATAGTTTTATACTTCCCCTCCTTCTTCTTCCCCAGGCTTCCCCCTTCCAGCTCCCTCCTCCCAGGTTTCCACCTCCCCTCTCTCACCCTCTCTCTTCCCCTCTCCCACCTCCTTTTCCCAGTCTCCCCAGAGGTTAATCTCCCCCCCTCCCAGTTTTGTTAAATAAAGAGAGTTTCTATTTTTGAACACACATGTACTTTATTTTTTATATCAGGAAGGGGGGCTAGGGAGGGGTAAGTGGAAGGAGGTGAGGGAGGAATGGGGCACGAGCCCCCGATGGGGAGGACTGGGGTGGCTTTGCGGGCTCCTCGGGGTGGAAGCCCTCTTGCAGGGCCTTTTGGATCCTGACAGTCCCCCAATTGGCCCCTCAGGATGGCAGCCTACGGCAAGTGCAGCCGGGCTGATGGCCAAGTGCTGTGATGTGCCAAGTGTGGGCACTCAGGGCACTCCAAGACAGGACTGCTTTGCTGTCCCTCATTGAGTTAGACAAGCAAGTGGGGAACCCTGAGAACTGTCTGTCCGGGGTGGAGGTCAGCCCTCGGCTAGCCTGAGGCAGCAGCTCCACACTCTAATCCTAACCTGATGCCCTCCTGGCACTGGTTCCGGCCAGCCTTAACTTTGGTTCAGGGTCCACTCAGTGTGGACATGGTATTTCGAATTAGCAAAACGCTAATTTGAATTAGTTTTTAGGTCTAGATGCACTAATTTGAATTAGCTTAGTTCAAATTAACTAATTCAAATTAAGTTAGTTCGAATTAGTGCTGTAGTGTAGACATACCCTGCCTGGGGAGAGAACCCCCTGCTAAGTCCCTGCTCCCTCTTGGCGTTGTGCCAGAGCACTGGGGGAGCACTGGCTGCCTGGGTTGGCAGGATCACCCCTCCTACAGTCTGTTCCCCCAGGGTAGGCAGTGTCCTGAGTGATGTGGGGTCTCCCCACTTTCCGTGCATCTTAGCACCTTGGGGAGGGTAACTGCCTGGGAGCAGCAGTAACTTGGGAGCTGGAGGTGAAGCAGAGGGAAATGGGAAAAGTGAGGAGCTGAGTGAAGGGGTTGGTCATGCTGCTGACAGGCAGAGCCACAAGAAAGAATCCAGGATGCCCTACACCAGATCTAGGATCAGAGGGGGGATTTGGGGACTGGGCACCAGGCTTCTGGATTTTATCCTCGGGGGTGGGAGGAGAGTGAGGTTCAGGGGGCATGTGGGGAAGTGGAGGGACCATAGGCTGAACAGTGTGGGGGAAGGAGTATTTCCATGGCAACACAAAATCTACTTTATTCTCATCAATCAGCAAACTCTGCTGTTGACTTGGTCTGATGGGCACAGAGACCCTTCCACCATCACCCCTGAATAGGCTGCAAAGAGCAGGGACCAGTGGAGGGGAGCTAAACTCATTAGACAACATGCCCAGAGTCAGGGACTGAACGCAGGAGTCCTGCCTCCCCTGCTTTAGCCCACCATACCCCACAGCCCTCCCAGGAGGCCTGACTTCTGCTCTTTGCTTTTTTGCTCTAACCCATCTAGAGCAGGCAAGAGACTTGCCCAGGGTTCTCAGAGCAAGTCTGGAATAGAGCCAGGAGTTATGGCTCCTGCTCCCATCTCTATCCATGAGATCTCACTCCACTCCTAGAACCGGGGTGGGACTCAGGGATTCTGACTCCCAGCCCCCTGCTTTAACCCACTGTGCTCTCAGCACTAGAAACACAACCTAGGGGTGCTGAAGCTCTGCACCTCCTGTTCTAGCCCATTCAGCTTCTATTCCTGGCTCTAGGAGCAGAGGGAATGCCCGAGTTCTGACTCTCAGTCCCTGCCTGCCACAGGAATGTTAATCTCGCTCTGCCTCCACCTCCACATTTGAACAAATGGGGATACTTATTCTTTTTTGACGACTGAGACTGGAAGGTCTTTGGGGCAGGGACTGGCTGGGACACCACCATCCTGACCTGTCAGGGGGTCTGTGCAGCGCTCAGCAAGAAGGGGAGCCATCTTGGTCCAGGTCTGTGCAGCACCTAACATGATGCAGTCAGAGTCAGGGGTGGGGTCTGTGCACTGCCTGGCACAACTGAATTCATGGTGATCTTCTTCAGGAGCTGGTTTCACCGGCCCTGTCAGTCCCAGAAAAAGCTGCTCTTAGAAGTGGGGTCAGAACTGGAGCTGTGGTGAGTGAGACTGAAGCCTGCTCTATGAAAGCAATCCCCAGTCTGGCCGTGAATACATAACAGACTTGCTGAGGACATTTGAAACTTCACTGTGCAAAGAAACGTGCTTTGCTGGCCTTGGATATGTGTGAGATGAGAGAGAGCAGAATCCCAGGCCGGCTTCCTTGGCACACGTCCAAGTCCCTAAGATGTTCACTGCAAAGTGCTGGTGAGTGTAATCAGACCCAGGGTCAGATGGCTGACAGTTTGAGCTTGTAAATCTTTCCTGTAGTTAACACAGCCTTGGGCATGTTTGTGTGATGTGCAAAGTCACTGGACTGCTGGGAAGCCATCACTATCCCATCATGAACAGATGCATCCGTGCAAAACAGTATCACGCTGTATCTTGTTTCTCTGTGCATGATGGTCAATTGCTTGTTTGCAACCAATTGCTGGCTGGTGTGGACTCATTAATTAGCTCCTCCAGGAGGAGGTTAACTACTATTAAATTTGATGCTTAACATGGCCAAACCAGGAAGAGAACCCAGGAGTCCTGACTTCCAGCCCTTTCCTGCCCCAACCTGCAGAGAAAGAGGGGATGGGGGGTGGGAAGAAGGAACAAAAGGGAAACAAATATTGTCAATTAGAGTGTCCATGCTAAATGAAGCTGATGCAGTGGGTATTAAGTGCTCTTAAGTATGGATGTTTGTTTTTTTTATGTCATTAGGATGTGGAATGTAGCCGGTAATCCATTAAGGACGTTGTTTAAACCTCTATGGTACATATCAAACTTGTAAATGAGAAGTGAGAAGTAAATGAGAAGTGAAAAAACAGACTGACGGAGCCAGACCAGTACCCAGATTCTGCTGCAGCTCTGCATTTAGTCCCCCTTTCCAGTATTCCCTCTGCCCGCAAGGACTGCAGCCCAAGAGTGCCTTACCTCCATGAGGAAGGCCCCGACGGTGGACTTTCTCACGCCGAACTGGTTGCCTACCGACCAGTTCTGGGTAGCCTTAAATGCAAGATAGCATCCAATCAATGTGGACACTATCTTTCAAAATAGCACATCGCTTTTTTGTTGCACTTTTGCTGTGTGGATGCTCTCTTTCGAAATATGCTTTTCTGGTAGCTGTCGGGGGTGACGAACTTCCAGACGGCTATTGCAACCCACTTCTCCAGGGGGGTGGCGGGTTGCATTTGGGTGTCCTGTCATTGCAGGGCAGGGACAAGCCAGGCACGCAGCTCCATGAAGGTGGCCTTCCTCATGCAGAAGTTTTGAAGCCACTGCTGGTCATCCCACTGCTCCATGACCAGCTGGTCCCACCAGTCGAATTGATGTCCAGCGTCCCAAACCTTCTCTCCACTGTGGGGTGCGGTTGCCAGGGCTTTACTCGCACACAGGGGGAGGGTCTCGATGATGACCTTGGTGTCAGGCTCCTGCAGGGCCAGGAAGGCAGCCTGCACAAACTACATTATGTCAGTGTGGGAACATTGCATGCCCAGAGGCAGCTCCAGCTCCATGGCAAGGAATATGCTGTGGCGTCCAAAAGCTGGGCAACCAGAGCACTCACTGCAAAAACTTTGCTGTCCCTTGGAGAGGCAGGCAAGCAAGAAGCAGTTGCTGAGAAACGGCTGACTGGGGTGCCCCTTTAAGCACACATCTCAGCTAGCCTTATGCAACAGCACCTGGAAGTAAGTGCTGACCTAA